TTTTTATATGAAATTACACTTGTAACTTCCAACCAGCATTAAAATATCACCCACCACCAATACTCACTTCAAAAGTTCTTTACTTACAAAATACTTGGACCCGAAAAAGAAAAAGAAATAATCACATACACAAAAAGAAGAAGAAGAAGAAGCAGATATTTATTCAGAAAAAATAAAAATCTAAAAAGAAAACTCTTTGTCTGAGTTCTGTGCCGATGAAGTTGTTGATCATCACCCTTGGTGGTGGAGAACAGCATCTATGAGGAAGATAAAGATGGGCGGAGCAATGGTGGAGTGGCTGAGGGTAGAAGATGGAGCAAAAGAGAGTATGGAGTGAGGAAAAATGCCCACATTTTTATTTAATAAAATGAAAGAAAAAGGAAGAGAATGGAAATGAAAGTTGTATTGAGAAAACAAAATTGTGTATTAGATAGAATGAAAGAAAGAAAGGAGGAATAAATGTTGTCTTTATTAGGAGCGGTGACTACAATTTGCTAATAAATTAGACCTAAATGTTATTTCGGGTCAAACATAAAAATATGAGCTATTAAAATATCTAGAGGACCATACAATGTCATTCCAAAAAATTTACTATCAAATAATTCTAAATATTAGGACTTTATCCAAATAAGCAAGAATTTAATAAATAAAATTAAGTTAATTTCAGAATCTTTAATAATAGAAAAAGTTATACAAAAAGAATTATAGTTATGCTACATAGTTCAAATAAGATACTATACACAAAACCTTTCACATATTGTTATTCCATGCTCTATTAGGTGAAATATATCACACCAATTTTTAAATTAAATTTTCCAAAAATTCGCTATACAAGATGAAAAAACACAAGTTAAATATTGGATAAAGCATTACCGATATACATGTCATAATTATTTTCACCTAATTCATCAGACCAAACATCTTAGATGACAGAATAAATAGAAGATGGATTTGTATCCACGTGTTGTTCTTTTTTAGTTAAAATATTATCCACGTGTCTTCACCATGAGTTGTTCCATTTCTTTGGTTGATATATAATGTGTATTATGTGTCTTCCGTAATAATAAGATCAATACACGTTCTTTATAATTGTCAAGACCCAAAATCCCATCTTAGTCGTCGTGATGTCACCTAGTCCCTAAGGCTAGGTAAGCCGATTATGATTACATTTCAAGCCATTTTCTTTTTTGATAAAGATGTAATTTAATACACGTGTCGAAACCAACAACGAAAATAATTTGAAAATACAACCTCCCAAGACTGATAATACTGAGTCACGAACTCTAACTGAATACATGAAATGATCTCAATGATCGAATACTCAATACTGTTTGAATAATAAATAACAATACAATAAAATGGAAAAACTCCAAGGAACTGCGACGACCAAGCAGCTCTACCTTGAATACTTGCGATCCCACTCTAACTCTAGTCAAGTACGATATCTCCAATACCTAACTCTGCACAAAAATGTGCAGAAGTGTAGTATGAGTACGCCACAATCGGTACCTAATAAGTATCAAGATTAACCTCAGTGGAGTAGAGACGAGGTACAGTCAAGACACACACTAGTCTAATAACATGTGCAATACAGTATACAAAATAATATGAAACAAATAACAATAAGGGCAACACAAATCAACCAGTGATAGGCCCGGCATGGCAACAAGAACACTATTAATATGTCTCAATAAATAATAAATACAAGTACACCCAATTAAATCAAGTTCTTCAAATAAATATCTTTCACATATAATTCTTCCAATTAACTCTCTTTCAAATATAATTTCCTCAAATAAATATCTTTCAAATATAATTCTTTCAATTAAAAAGTCACCATGTGACACCTCATTTCATAATCATACAACTACGGGTCTCAGCCCATTTTCATATTTTCACGACACCTCATGCCAAATTTCTCTATCACGGCCGCACGGACAACTCACATGCCAATATCATCATCATTTAACCACGACACCTCATGCCCTCATTTCATATCACAACTTCACGGACAATTTACCTGCCAATATTATTATTATTTACTCACGGCACCTCGTGCCCATATTTCATATCATAATCCGCCTGGCAATGGTCACAGACCCTCAATTTCAATATAAATCGGAATATTACCAATTTACCAACAACAAGACCAATTGCACAAGATATAAAAATAAACACAAAAAAAAATCACAACACTACTAGAAATTCGCTATTTTCCGACTACCAAACTAGTCAAAAAGTAGTCGGAAAAGTACCTATTTCGACTACTTTCCGGCTGATTTACAGTAGTCGAAAAACGGTATGTCGAAAAAACCTTTCCGACTACAGTAGTCAAAAAATTCAGACTACTGTAGTCGAAAAGTTTGTTTCGCCAAAAATTCGAAAAGGGAGCTATTTTCCGACTACAATAGTCGGAAACTTAATAAAATAATTATTTATTTTAAAAAAATATTTTCATTATATAAATAATAATTATTTATTATTTATATTTATTTTATTTTCCGACCACAATAGTCAGAATTTTGAATTTTGTAGAAATTTTCAGTGAGGTTTCCGACTATTGTAGTCGAAAAATCATAATTTCTGGGCACATTTTTCGACTACAGTAGTCAAAAATCTGGGTTAGATTTTTGGTAGAATACTGCCATTTTATTAGCATACCACAACAATAAACAACTAATACAACCAATCAATTCAACCAATTCAACCAACCAATTCCACTAACCAATTCTAACTTCAACCAACTAATTCCAACTTCAACCAACCAATTCAAGCATTCAAACCCCATAATATCAAACTAAAATATTAATTAAAATCTAAACATTCAATATCAAGTCTAAGTAGCTAATACACATCGACTCTAATATAATTAAGTCTAAACAGGTATACCACAACATCAAAACTTACAAATAAAGTCTAATTATAAATTCTAAACATCCAAGAACATTTAATCAACCAAAACACACTACTAAACCAAAACACACTACTAGACATCAGATTCAGTCTCTTCATCATCATAAGAGTAGGACATGTGCTTTTTCATGGATTTTTTCACTCTAGCAATGTGAACTTCGGCTGTTTCACACCGTTCCGACAATAACTTTTGGTGGAATGCATTGGGCGTTCATACAGTGGGCGACTAGCTTCCTCTAGTTGTCCATAAAAGCGCTTAGCCTCATCATTTGGTTCGGATTGAGCCCCTGCGAACATCTCAAAAGCATCTCTCATCGACTCTGGAATTTTCAAAATTATTCTCTACTCTTTTTACTACCCTCACCACAAAATCTAAGAAAATAATACAAATTGAGATATTCTTCTACAGGTTCCCACTTTGAATAATTGCAATACCTTCAGCATTTTAACTATGAATGACTCTATAAATTTAAAATTTCACAATAAAAGTTAGGTTGATTACATGAATTCTATCATACTAGCATTCTCTGTTAATTACTTTTCCAAGATCTTTCAAACAGCAGCAGAGTTTTTGAGGTATGCTTAATTGTTTTGAAAAATTATATATAAGTCTACATGTTTATTAGCTAGCTTCTAGGATTTTTCTTCTCCTCCATATTTTTCTGATTCTACTTTTGTTTTCTTTTTCCCCTTTGAATTACAAGTAGCAACAGTAGTAGTATCAACTAAGCAGTTAAGTATGACTATTTGTTTTTGTTTTTATGGACATCATATGAATATGCATCCCTATATATGAATTGCTATAATATAATGAAAAAGTATGGATCAACATAGTGCAGTTGCTTTTGCACCAAAGTTTCAATGTGACTTGACTAAAAGAAAATATAAAACTTTAAGTAGAGGAATTTTGTCTCTCCTGAGAGCAATGTTCAAGAGATGAAACTTAAAATTGGTGTCGTTATTACAATTATACTACTAATAGATATTCTTGAGTAAAAAGTTTCAAATTTCAATCCATCTGTGTATCTCTACCATCTCCTTTACCATATTTTACCGGTCTATCTTCTTCTTTTTTTGTTACGGTACTACACTACTACTGATCTATCTTAACCCGGACAAATATTTTTAGAAAAATAAACGATCTTTTAAAGAGGTGCAGTTTCGGATTCTTCTTCATCAAGAGAGTTAACATCAAGAGATTGCAAGAATTATACCTAGCATCATAAGTAAGCTAGGCAAAAAGTTTTACAGTAGATATTCGTAGTTCTAGTTCAAGATTAGTTAGAATTTCAAACTAGTAAAGATTTCGTACCTTATAACAATGAAATTGCTAACCGAAATGTTATCTCTCCTCTGCCTTACAGCCTGCAACTTCCTCTTGTTGGAGACAAATTCCTGTACAGTCAACTTCTAATTTCACTCCAAGGAGGCTGCCCATTGCAGTCAAAATGATCCCAAAATCAAACAAGAATTCCATTCACGAACCTAAAATAGCTCAGCAATCAGCCCAGTAAACATACTCGATTGGTCAAAAATTTAGGGGACGAGCTCAAAAAAAATAAATAATTCCTCAATTCCTCAAAAAATGTATTAACGGATAAAACTACTCAATTTACACTAAACTTATAAGTTATAGTATAAAATACCATGTGATGTTGAATGATATACAGAAAGGAACACCAAATTTTAAAAAATCAACGCACTCTGAATAAATCAAATGGGTCTGTTTGTGATATTTTGTTAGGCACTCTTAATTTTCGCACCAAATATAAAGTGCAAACCTCATTATCATTTAATTATTCCATCATAATATTCTTTCTAAGATCTACTTAAATTTCAATAACAATCACAGAGCATTCAAAATATCACAAACCTAATCAACAACAATCGATTGTTTGACCATGAGAGAACAAACCCAGTCAAATTATTTTTCAAACTAAGTTTCTAACACTAAAATAGTAGTGTCGCTGATTTTGCACACTAAAATGAAACCCTAAGTCGTCATCGAAGATTAGACGCGGGGGGGAGGGGGAGAGAGAGAGAGAGAGAAAGAGAGCCTACCTAATGAATAACAGTCGATGATTTTGTCGGTGCCGTTGGATTTGATTTTGCCGGCCCCGTTGATTAACTGGAGAGCCTAAGAGAGCATGTAGAGAGAGAGAGAGAGAGAGAGAGAATAAGAGAGAGCGTGTGTGAGAAAAAAAGTATTAGAAAAGTAAGAGAATTAGGCAGAAAATAACTTAAGTTTCCGACTACAGTAGTGACAAAATAAGGTCTGACAATATTTCCGACTACTGTAGTCGGAAAATATATATTATTTAATTATTTTTTTAAAAATAAATTTCGACTACCACGGTCGGGACCATTTGGTCAAAAGTTGTTTAACTTTCCTATATAATATTCCGACTACAGTAGTCGGAAAATTCTTTGCACCGAATTTTCGACGAAGCTTTACGATTATATTAGACAAAAATGTAATCAGAATAATTCTTAAAAATAAACAAAAAAATAAATATGAGATTTCCGACTACAGTAATCAGAAATTTACGACTGACATTTTGTAGTCGGTAATTATAGTCGGAAAAAAGGTATTTTCTGGTAGTGTCATGATGTCATAGATGCCGCTCAATTTAAGACTTGATAATCTTTCTAAAATTGGGCCAATAAACATGTTATTAGGCATAGTTACGGGATGAAATTTCTGCAAAAGATTCTTTAAAGACCGGATCCATCTCAAGATACAATTCGACGCAACTTTGCATGATCAAGCACTCTTTCGAGAAGATACAAAAAATGAGTTTCTCACATGAGTACTTCAAGTCTCATCTTTATGTTCCATCAAGTCTACACGCCGACAAGCCTTGAAGTAGGGGGCATTTGTAGACACCAAAATTTTAATGGATCAAGCTAAATCCTAAATTCAAGATACTACAAGAGGACTCTTGCAATTGTAGGAGTCTATTAGGGTTGCTTGGAGTCTACTCTACAAAAATTCTAATTTGGAGGCTACTCTATCATAACCCTAGGTTACTCCTATAAAAAGAGTTACATATTCCCTTTGAAAAGGGCTCTCAAATTGAGGTCATCCCAAAAAGTATCCCAAAAATTCTCGAGATATTCACAAAGGGATCAAGGCATAAAATAATGTCGTGTTCAATAAATGTTCTTCTTGATAACCAAATACTTCAAGAAGAACATCCACGCAATGATCGACTTTTATGGAGATCAAATAATCCAGAGAGGTCCGCATAATCCTATGTTCGAGAAATATGTCGCTAAGGCCCTCGAATTATGGAGAATAAGTTTCTTTCAATACGCTCCTACTAGATGCTTTTCCATGCCTGTATTAATCATTTAACTCATGTATGTTATAGTGACCCGATGGATCCCACCGGCAGTAGAAGTCTTGGACCGGTGGGTTCAAAAGATCTTGGACATCACCACTCCTGAAACCCGTTTGTGGAAAGAACTGTCCATTAAATACGGGTGGAAGGCCGAAAATCATGGTAATTTAATTTTTCCTCACTCTAGCTTCTATTTATGAGGAATTTGCTTGGACCCTTCTGATTCGTTAATGATTGATGAAATTAGGTCTACCCGCGGGCTCAGTTGAGGTCCCCGAATGCTTTAGCTCACTATGCTGACGCAGCGAGATTGCTTCAAGAGGCACTTACTTGCACTGGTGCCTCCGGGTTCGCTTCGGGCGCAAGCGTATCTTTACAGAGCCCCCGTCCATAGAATAAACAACCGAAGAGAAGGAGTTCCTCTGCGTCTAAAAAAAAGGCAAAGGTTGATGCCCCCAAGTCATCTCTAGTGGTGACGATGACCGGTCCTTCTTCCGGGCCGATCATCGACACTGTGATGATCGATGATGATGAAGAAGCTAGTGATGAGGGAGCTTCTTTACAAAGAAGACAACAATTATTATCCTCTCAACAAGGTACTCAACCTATTGATGCAGTCACATCCGCCGAAGATGATGTCTCGTCACTTTGGGGAGAGTTTGACTTGGTAAAAAATGCCAACTCCCGTTCTCGGCCCCTATTTGTTGTACCCGGTACTATGAGGTAGAGTACCGGGTTCTTTCCATCTTCGGTTGGTGAGCACCCAACGCCCGGTGCTGCCTTCGATGCATTTGTTTCCCGTTCTCCCCCTTTATCAGCTTTATCACCACCTTCTTTGCCACCAGCAACTCCTACACCATTTCCATCTTCATCCACGCTTCTACCAACAACATCATCTCCAACGGTCGCACCTGACCGTGATGAAATCATCCCTCTTCCTCAGTCCCCTGTTCATGGGAATTTAGGGCAAAATTATGCTGCCCCTTCTGAAGATCCTCAAAGCAAAATGAGTGTTACCCTTTCGGTCTCTACCGGGTGCAACCTTCTTTCCCAGCCGGTGGAGCTTGCAAATTATCTGTCCCCTTGGCTTCAGATAAGGATTGGAAAAAGATTCAGACACTCTCGGGAGAGTGTTTGTTGAACAATGCCATGCATAATGCTGCAACGGTATATTTCTTTCTTTCTCTGCTATTTTTTCGAGCTTCTGAATGAGTGCATTTTAAGTTTTACCTCTTTTTATCTCCCAGACCAATTTTCTTACTTCCGAGGGCCTACAAAGGTTAATCCGCGAGAAGGAGGAACTCGCTTCTGAACGGGATTAGCTTTTGGCGGAACGGGACCAGACTGTTCTTCGCCTCTCGGAACTAGAAACCAGGGCCACTAAGGCCGATGTTTTGGGAGCCCGTTTGCAGTAAAGTAAGCAGGAAGTGGTAACCCTCAACTAGGAAGTTGGGCCGCTGAGGGACGGTTTTGATGAAGTCAACGCTAAATGGGCTGAGGTCCAGAATACCATTCTTGCTGCCAATGATCGTGAGGCTGCTGCTGCTGAAAGGGTAACTAATTTAGAAGTAGCCTTGAATTCTAAGGCCGAAGAACTTGCTACCGCGGGGGCGAGACATGCCCAGTTGGAGGAGAAGTAAAAGAAAACTATCGAGCATAACAGGCTCTATAGTTTAACTGTCCATGATCTCGATGTCAGTCTCCGATCTGCTAGGTCTGCTTGGGACAATATTTCTGTCGAGATCGCTCAACTCAAAGAAGAACTCAGGCGCCGAGAGGCTTCCCTCGTTGTTGAAAAAACTTATGCCATGTACAGCATGAGGAGAAAGACCTTGGAAGGAGCCAAAGCTGGCGTTTTTGATATTGATACCGAAATTGCTAAGGCACGCGAGCTTGAGTTGGCTGCAAAGAAAGGGCTCCCAGTGCGGTCTGATGTTCCAGGTTCTTCTGATGCTGGTTCCGAGATTTCGGACACTAAAGAGGAATCGAAGGCGATGATGCCAAATATCAAGCTGGGGAAGATGTTGAGCCATCGGTTGAACCCGCTACCGCTCCCGGGGATGCAGATACTTCTCTTCCTTCTGATTCTGGCGACGTTGTAGTTTAGCTTTTTCTTTCCCTGTCTTGTATTTCCTTTTGGTGCATCCTTGTAAATAAAGATGTATTATTTCTCAACTATTTGGCTGAGTCTTACTTTGCTTGGATATCTGTTCAATTTTTTTTTTAACCCTTGTGCATGTCTTCCTGCTTTTCTGCATGTGGTCTCGGGTGCATTTTCTTCGATGTACTTCCATCTCTGAGAATTATCCCATTTACATGAGAATTTCAATAAGTATTTGCGCAAGATTGGTTTCTGCGTCTTTTTCGTATGTGGATTCGGGTGTAGTTTTCCCCGATAGCATTTTTGGTTCCAGGGATATATTCTTCCGGAACTAACCCTTTAACAGGAGGGTTTTTATAAAGAGTTTGCGAAAGTTTGGTTTCTGCGTCTTTTTTTTTTTTAAGATAAGAAGGTATTTCACAAAGAAGTACGTAAACCAACAAGACATTTAACTAAAAGGTACCAGTGTTTTAAAAGGCGTGGGCGTAAGGCGAGGCGTTTTACACATGCCTCATCGAGGCGTAAGCCCCGAGGTACGGGGCGTAAGTCCCATAGGTATTTAATTTTTAATATTTTATAAAATAATATAATGACAATAAATATTTATAAACAGGTAAAATTGCATAAAAATTGAAGAAACTATATATATA